GAAAGAAAGAAAGAAAGAAAGAAAGAAAGAAAGAAAGAAAGAAAGAAAGAAAGAAAGAAAGAAAGAAAGAAAGAAAGAAAGAAAGAAAGAAAGACATGCTCACAGAGGAGACATTTGCTGCTTCCAGGAATTAACTAGACCAGGAAGGGATAGTGTCTCCCTGGCCAGCAAGACCCAAAGATGTCAAAGCATCGCCAAATATACCAAATAAAAAGCATGTTTAATGCCCCAGGATGCTCAGAGACAAAGGTGTCACAAGGGAACAGATTCACAGTCCTGGACTAAACCCTTGGGCAACTCCCTTTGTCTGCCTGAGGCTCAATGTCCTTATCAACAAATAACTGTTTAAGCCGACAGACACTGGCCAACAGGTTTAACAGTATCCACTGAGGTTATTGATGGGTCTGTCTAAAGATAGGCTGGGCATGGTGCTGCATGCCTGTAATCTCAGCACTTTGTGAGGTGGAGCTGGGAGAATTGCCTGAGGCTCAGAGTTTGAGACCTGCCTGGGCAACATAGCGAGACTCGTCTCTACAAAAAATAAAAATAAATTAGCGTGGTGGTGTGTGCCTGTTGTCCCAGATATTTGGGAGGCTGAGAAGGAAGGATCTCCTGAGCCCAAGGAAGCTGAGGCCACAGTGAGCCATGATCATGCTACTGCACGTCAGTCTGGGTGACAGAGTGAGACCCAGACCCCAAAAGAAAGGAGATAGTGGATGGTGCCTGATGCATCAGAGGTGACCAATGCGTCTTCCTGCCGCAGCTCAGGAAGCGGCAAAGATTGATGTGGAAGGGTGGAATCAAGGACCATTTTCCTTGGCTGTTTGGAGCCCTCAGAGCAGAGACTGCGGTTGGACAGAACCCTCAGGAATGTTCTTGGAACTCAGAGTTGCTGTTGGACAAAGGATGGCATGGGGGCCAGCCCAGTAGCCAGGCGCCCAGGAGAGTCTGAGTTGTGTTTGGAGGTCAGGCTTTGGGAGATGCCAGGGACTCGGGCACAGCCCTGGCACAAGGGACCACTCAACTCAGGGGCTCAGACACAGCAGGGCACCCAGGGGGAAATCCCGGCAGACCAGAGGACAGCTGGGCAGCTGTGGATAAACAAGGACACCGGGATCCTGGGAGGAAGGGAGGCGGCAGCTGTCGGTAAGGAGTCTCTGAGAAGCCAAGTTAGAATCAGGCACTGGCCTGAGATGCGTGGCATTTCCTCTGCCTTCTGGCTGTGGATTGTTTTTGAACTCTAGGCTAGGGATGACTGTGTTTGCCAAAGACAGATTCTAAGGAGGGAAGCTGAGGGCTCTGGGCCTGTCAAGTAGAGCATGAGAAGAAACAAACAGCCTGCTTGGTTCAAAGCATGCATCCCTCTGGGAAGGGAGGCTGTGTGGTGCAGTGGGGGGCACACGAGGATGGACTTGAGTCCTGCATCCACTTCTTTTTTTTTTGAGTTGGAATCTCACTCTTTGTCGCCCAGGCTGGAGTGTAGTGGCATGCTCCTGGCCACCACAACCTCAACCTGCTGGGCTCAGGCGATCCTTCCACCTCAGCCTTCCAAGTAGCTGGAACTACAAGACGCACACCACCACGCCCAGCTAGTTTTTGTGATTTATTGTAGAGATGAGTTCTCACCAAACTGCCCAGGCTGGTCTCGAACCCCTGGGCTCAGGCAATCCTCTCACCTCAGCCTCCCAAAGTGCTGTGATTACAGACTGAGCCACCACGCCCTGCCCTGCCTCTGCTTCCTACTGGCTTTATGACCTTTGGCAAGCTCCTTGAGCTCTCTGAGTCTTGATTTTTCCACCGGTAAGATGGGGACAATGATACCTCCCCTGCAGAACTGTTGTAAGCAGGTAGGGTCAATTTATTCTTTAGGTAGGCACAGTGCCTGCAGTCAAAGAAAATGTTTGGAGTTTACACTCTTTTAAAATCAGGAGGAAAAATTGAATATAATAATAATGCAAGGCAACCCCTTCCAGTTCCCTCCCACTGTGGGAGCTTTGCTGCCTCTCAATAAATCCGACTTTCTCACATAAAAAGATAATAATAATCCATATATAATAATGAATCCAGCCTGGATTCGATTTGTCTTTATAATGACACAGTTGCCAAATATAACTGTGTGTGTGTGGGTACATATGAGGGGGGAACCCAAAACCCGGATATTTATTTATGAAAAGTTGTGTTTATTCTTACATGTTTAAACTTCAGTCACCTTCAAAGGACCCTTTGCCTGATGAAATAGGCCTGTCGAGATGCTTTTTCCACTGCTCAAAACAGTTTCTGAACTCATCAAGTTTGATGCCTTTGAGTGCTTCTGCTGCTTTTGGTTTCACCTCTTCCATATGGGCAAAACATTTCCCTTTGAGGCCTTTTTTTTTCATCTGAGGAAACAAACAAACAAAAAAGTCATTCGGGGTGAGATCGGGTGAAGAGGGAGGGTGGGGTGTGAGGGTCACGCCACTTTGGGTCAAAAACTGCTAAACACTCAGCATGGTGTGGGCAGGTGCACTTATAAACCACCCATTATCAAATGGGCAAACACGAAAGAATCCCCCCCAAAATTCACTGAAGCCATACATAGCCTCTTGCAACAATGCTAGCTGGTACTCTGATGCTGATCGGTTCCTAGAACACTTACCTAGTGGGGAAAGCCTGCATTACAAGAGGCCTGCCCTCCAAAAGGATAACTGGTTTTTCTGAGGTCCTCCCTCACATATTTTTGTGTGTGGGTGTGTACGTATGCATATATATATATATATATATATATATATATATATATATATATATATATATATATGCCTACAAAGGCAAAAGTGCTTGGGACTCACAAAAGCCAGAACAAGGCCCCGAAACATGTGGCACATGTGGGTGCTCAAGCTTCATTCCTGAGCACCTACGCTGGGCTGGGCACTATTTTCAGTGTCAGACCTACTCCAGGCCAGGCACTATTCTTGGTGTCACCTATTCCAGGCTGGGCACCATTTTTGGTGTCAGACTTACTCCAGGCTGGGCACTAGTCTAGGTGTCAGAGCTACTCTGGGCCAGGCACTAGTCTCAGTGTTGGGCTAGAGGGCCTGGGTCTGCCCAGCCTCTGCCCTCAAAGAACCAGCAGAAAACAGGCAACTGTGACACCATGAGCTAAAAGGCACGAGACACAGAAGCCTTGGCCCCTCTTTCCACCCTCCCCCTGCCAGCCCCATTCGCTCTCTTTGTCCAGATATTTTTCTCCCTGCCAACTTCTTTCCCCTTTTATCAAGGGCCATGTCTAGGTCATGTCCATTCTTGCTCCTCAGCTTCTGCCACCAAATCTCTATTTAAGATGCCCACCAGTTCTCTGGTTCCTTTTAGCCAATTTCTGCCCATGGGTTAAGCGTGTCCGTGGCATTTGTGGCTATGTGCACTGTTGGTGGGAGACTTCTCTACCACCTCTCGTGGGGACGGTATCTCCACAAATGCTTCCATTAGTGCCCTTCTGCCTCCAGGGACCCCAGTGGGCCTACACGTTTTTGCCTTCTCTTTTCTGGCTGGAGTCACCTACTTCTTGGCCAATGTGAGGGGTGTGGTGGAACAGGCGAGGTCTGGTGGAGGGCCAGGGTGGGGTCTGAATGAGCCACGGGGGCATTGCCTGGTGGATGTGTCGTGGCATGTGTTTTCTTTTCCAGAACCCCAGAGATGAAGGGCCTCCTCCCACTGGCTTGGTTCCTGGCTTGTAGTAAGTGCTGGTCCCACGACCTCTGAATGGCCTTCTGCCCCATGGGAGTAACAGGGGAGTGAAAAACAGACCAGTCTTTGAAGTTGCAGAGACATGTGTTTGCATCTCAGCTCTGCGTTGACTGAGTAGACGTCAGCGCTCTGAGACTCTGCTCCCTCGTCTGACATAGGCTAAGGCAGTCCATGGGGAGGACTGTGGCAGGGTATCCCCTGTGTAAGACTATGGATGCACAACAGATGTAGCAGATTTGGGAGGTGAGATTTTTTTTCCTTGGATGCAAAACAAAATAAGGCAAAAGCAAAACAAAGAGATCAAAATAAAAACAAGCTCTTATCTAAATGTCCCAGCCTGTGGTTCCCAAGTCATTCTGTGCTCAAGCCTGTCTAGCTGGGAGGTGACTGTACAGCTGGCTTTAGTCCCACCCTGCAGCTCTGTGACCATGTACACAACCCCGACAGGCTGTCCTGCTCTTCAATGTTTTGTCAGACCCCTGAAACCAGAGACCTGGGGCAGGGAGAGAGCCTTGTGTTCACTGTGAAACCTTGGACAGGGTACCTTTTCCCTCCAAGCCTCAGTCTCCTAATTTGTATAGATGAGGGAACTGGCTTCAGTGATTTCAGGGGTCTCGTCCTGCTTTAAATTCTTCCTGCCTTGTGTTCTAAAAGGTGGAAGGGGAGAGGGCTGCATCACTAGGAGAGATAGGAAGTTCCTGTCTGCCTGCTTCATACAAACACCATATAAAATATACCTATTATTTCTTGGTCACTTATAAGTGTCTGACACGTGATCAGAATTTACATACTTTTGCTTATTTTAACCCCCACGACAACTCTAAGAGGTAGCTGCTAATTTTAGGTCCCCAGTTTCCAGATGAGGAAACTGAGACTCTGAGAGATTAAGCCTGTTCAACACTATACTTCAAATTAGGGACCTGGGATTTGAACCCAGGGTTGCTCATTTTTCAAGTCCAGACTCTTAACCAGGTCTCCATACTGCTTATAACTCCCTTCCCACTAATTAGGAGAATAAAAAAGAGATATCCAGGTCCCTCCAAGCCCCAGGGTGGCAGAGAGTGCAGGGGTTGCTGGGCAGTGGGTGTCATCTGCCCAGGTGTCATGTGGGGACATGGCTGTCTTCCAGGTGTGCCTGCTGTGCCAGGGGGCTTGCTCGACCTCAAGTCAATGATCGAGAGGGTGACAGGAAAGAACGCCCTGACGAACTATGGCTTCTATGGCTGTTATTGTGGCTGGGGTGGCCGAGGGACCCCCAAGGATGGCACTGATTGGTAAGCTGACCACCACGACAGCCCCTTTGTGCTCCAGGCTTTGCACCCCCACCCCCATTATCTCATTCAATTCCATTTCAATTCTGGAAGACGAATTTTAAAGCACCACTTTACAGATAAGAAAACTAAGTCTCAAAGATGCCAGGAGCTGGCAATCCCAGGATCTCAGGGACCCAAGGTGTCAGTTGGCCTATTATAGCTTAACAAAGTATCCTAAATGTAGTAGCTTAACATGGCGGCAATTGTATACATGGCTTGTGAGTCTGCCATTTGGGTAGGTTTGGCGGGGTGGCTTGTCTCTGTTCTCCCAGCTCCAGCTAAGACAGCTCAGCTGAGGCAGAATGACCCACTTTCCAGATGGCTCATTCCCATGACTGGCAAGTCACTGTCTCCTGGTCTGGGAGCGAACCAGGGCCTCAGTTTTTCTCACTTAGGCCTCTCCAAGGATGTTTGGGCTTCCTCCCAGCATGGCACTTCTTGGGTTCCAAGAGTGAACATCTCAAAACTGCAAGAGCAAAAGGTATGGTGTTTTTATGATCAGCCGCAGAAATTTCAGTGTCACACTATACTCCTAGTCAAGGCAGTCACAAAGACTTTAAGAGGGAGGAGACCTAGATTCTACCTCTTGATTGGGAAGTGCCAAAGTTCTAAAAGAACATGTGAAATGGGAGATATTGTCCTTTGGAAAATGCGCCCTGCTGGGTTAACAATTCTGATACCCCTAGACATATATGACAGAAGGGGACAATTAAGCAAATAGATAGCAGATGGGTGGAGCCAACTTCTCACCGTTTGAGTGGGATGAGCAAAGGCAGCAGGCTAGAATGGGCCACGTGGCAATGGATTGGAGCAGGGAACATCAGAATGAACTCCTGCTTAGCCTACTACAGATATTTACATGTACGAGTATGTGTATGTACATGGGTTAATATAAACACATCATTTTATGCTGTCAGTTGAAAGGACCTAAAAGAAATTACATCCCCGTGATAACAAGCACATCCAGTACCTAGATATGGTTTCTACGCCACTCTTCAGTAAAAGGAACCATGGCTCCTTGAAGAAATGGTGGAAAAGGCAGGAAATATATAAGACAAGCCTGGAACTTCATATAGTGCCCAAAAGTAGGGAGGTTCACAAACAAAATGAAACCCCACATTGCTAGGGATATGTTAAGAGGTTCCTAAACCAACTGCAAGAACTCCCAATGGCCAAAGCTGGGACAATTTGAGCAACAAATTAATAACCCATAACCCCAGTTGTATACGAGGAAAAAATATTCAGACAAATCTCAACAGTGGGGCATCTTAAAAAATACTTGAGCCATGATACTCAAAACTGTCAAGGTCACCAAAACCAGGCAATGCCTGAGAAACTGTCACGGCCAAGGGGAGTCTAAGGAGACACGACAACTAAGTGTAGTGTGGGGTCCTGGATGGAATTCTGGAACAGAGAAAGGGTATTAAGTAAAAACTGGGGAAATCTTAATAAATCTAGACTTTTTACAATTAGTGAAACTATAATGTCTTAATATTTAGTTAATTAGTTAATAATTCATTATTTAGTTAACATGTCAGTATTGATTCATTAATTATAATTAATGTACCATACTAATATAAGATGTTAATAATAGGGGAAACTAGGTGTTTCCCCTATACAATTGTCTCAATTTTTCTATAAATTAAGAAAAACTTTAAAATGCAATCTGCCACAGCTAACATAGAGTCACCCTTTAGTATCCATGAAGGGGTTGACTCTAGGACCCCTGTGGATGCCAAAGTCTGCTGATGTTCTAGTCCATGATATAAAATGGCATAGTATTTGCATATAACCTTGTACATCCTCTGTTCTCTCATATACTTTAAATCATCCCCAGATTACTCGTAATACCTGTTGCAATGTAAATGCTAGATAAATGGTTGTTATAGTGTATTGTTTAGAGATTAGTAACAGGAAAAAAGTCCGTATATGTTCAGAGCAGATGCAAGACTGCAGGCCTAACTATATTTCCATCTGTTGTTGGTTGAATCTACAGTTGCAGAACCCATGATAACAGTTTATTTTTTGCTCACATGACAGTTCAGTGTGAATCACATGTTGATCCAGGGGCCTGCAAGCCTTCCATCTTGTAGCTGTGCCATCTCCTATGGCCTCAGAGTCATCTCCATCCAGCTGAAAGATGGAGAAAAGGTGAAAGTGGAGGAGCTCATGGGAAGTCTTTCTGGGCAAGTCTGGAAGTGGAGTACATCATTTCCACCTGCATTCCCCCCACCTCAGAACCCAGTCATGTGGCCACACCTGCAAGGAAGGCTGGGAAATGTAGTCTAATCATGAGCCCAGGAAGAAAATCTGGGTCAGTGACCTGCTGGCCAGTGGCAGCCCTAGCAGAAGAGCTACCTACTTGGCACACTACCTAATTCTTCCTCTACCAGGCCATGCCTACCAAGGTGGCCTCTGCTAAGGTGACACGGTTGAATTTTTGCTCCTGTTAGGGACAGGGTGTCAAGAAGGTGCCCCACTCAAGACCTAAGTCAAGACCTAAGTCTCTTGACCTAAGTCTCTTGCATGGACAGGTGCTGTTGGATGCATGACCAATGTTATGGGCGGCTAGAGGAGAAAGGCTGCAACATCCGGACACAGTCCTACAAATACAGATTCGCCCAGGGCCTGGTCACCTGCGGTAAGGCTGAGGCTTCCCATTCAGACCTTTGGAAGAGCCTGGCTCTCTCCTGGCTCTGAGTTCAGCTGTCCTAGAGTTCAGCCAGCTACATCTTGGGGAGACAGATATGGAATGAGAGGAGCGGGATTACTGCAACTATATCAGACCTCCAGGGAAGGGCTGAAATGTCTTAGACTGAGCATTCGCTGGATGCCAAGCGCTTTGCATGTTTCCTTTTACTGGATCCTTTCCCTCAATATGTTCCGTAGAGTAGGTTTAGTCTCTCCCATTTGACACATGAGGAAATTGAAGCTCAAAGGCCTACCAATGCACATAGCAGGGTTCCAGCTCAGGTGTCCTGAGTTCCAAGCTAAGTCTGGAGATGGTACCTTCCTCCTGAGCGTAGAGTTCCTTCACAGCAGAGGCTCTCTCCACCATCAGACTGGGAGTTTTCAAGAGGAGGGAATGTGCCCCCTCCATCAGACTGGGAACTCCTTGAGGGCTGCAGCTGTGTCTCTTGGATTGACCCCTCACCCTGAGCAGCAGCTGTTGCCCCTTCCATCAGAGTATCCATTCCCCCAGTTAAGGAGCCGTGACCCCTTCATCAGACTGAGAACCTCTCAGAGCAGGAAGCGGACTGGGAAATCTGCTCAGACTGGAGCAAGTCCAGGTCAGTAGCACACATCCTTCCCACCCTCACTCTGCTCTCGGTGTCCTTTTTGCAGAGTTCGGACCCTTCTGTCGCATGCAGCTCTGCACCTGTGACCGGAAGCTTGTCTACTGCCTGAAGAGGAACCTATGGAGCTACAACCCTCATTACCAATACTTCCCCAACATCTTCTGCTCCTAGTCACCCTTGATGAGCTCTTTTTTCTACAACACGGCATCCCGGTTCTGCTGAATTCCTGAGAGAGGCTTCTAGGTCTCAGATGTCATTCTTTCTTGATGGTTCACTGGGCTTGGAGGAGTCCCAGGACCATGTTTCTGGGGAGTCCCAAGAGAGTGATTCTGGTCATAGGACTTGGCAAGATCCCAGGGTCCCTGGGCCTCCACTTCTGAGGTCAGCCCTCGGGTGTCAGGAACTATCCCCTAACTCAGGGCTTGTCATGCCACTTCTCTCCTCTGAAGACAGTGCCCTGTCTCTAGTTGGAAGATATTCCTGGGATGTACTTTTCAGTTTCTGCGATCAATTATACCACCAACTTCCAGAGAATTTTTATACAAGCAGAGAAACACTGACACTCTAAATCTGCCATATAGATATTAAATAAAATTCATTCTCAAGGCTAATAAAAATCACATAGGCATTTTTCTCTGCTATGGGGGATTGCTGATGCCTCTGACACTGGGTCACTAAATTTAAAGTTATTCTGTCTCTGCCATATTCTCAGAGATAGAAGGGAAGATTAAGAAAAAGACACTTTTTCTGGGATGAGCTTTCAGCCTTCTCTTGGACTCATTTCCTTAAATTTGGGGCCCTCTCGAGCTAAGCTCTGGGTCTTCTTATTCCTTGAGAGGGCGGGGTGAAGATAACTGGCAATTATGCGAGCTTAGGTTTTTGGGCCAGAGAGGGCAGCATTCAAATTCCAGCTCTGGCTTCTCCGGTGTGGTCTTGGGCCATTACTGAACCTCTCTGACACTCGGTCTCTTTTAAAAAAGAAATTGTTAGCCAGGCGTAGTGGCACGCACCTGTAGTTCCAGCTACTTGGGAGGCTGAGGCAGAAGGATCACTTGAGCCCAGCAGGCCAAGACTTCTGTGGCGGTGAGCATGCCACTGCCCTCCAGCCTAGGCAACAGAGTGGGATTCCAACTAAAAAAAAAAAATAGAAAAGGAAAAAAGAAAAGAAACTGTTGTGTTCCTTATAATGTAAACTGAGGCTCCTAAAGTCCACCTTGACTCTGACATGGAGATGCTCAAGGTCTGGGATTTCACAGAACAGGATTTTAAAAAATAGGATTCAGTTATGGAGTTTATTTTAACCAAGTAGGGACACTTAGAAGCCCCACTCATCTATCAATTTGTAAAAGAAAGAAAGACTGCAGGAAGAAAGGACATATCCTGAAACCAAGTAGAGTCCTTCCAAGGAAGGACCTTTGGCTTCTTTATACTGATGTACCCAAAATACCCACATGATAAATGGCATCTATATTTAAACACCTCTAGTGTGGAATGTTTTCAAAATAAAGCTTAATTGTATGAGATTGCCCTGAATGTACCAGTGTTTTATGAAAATTTGATATAGACTCAGTGTTTGTATTTGATGATACCACACAGACAGGGCTCCAATGCCCAATTTACTCATGAAATTTCTTTAATCAAAACCACTTCCAGCCGGGCTCGGTGGCTCAGCCTGTAATCCCGTGCCTTTGGGAGGCTGAGGTGAGTGAATTGCCTGAGCCCGCGGGTTCGAGACCCGCTTGGGCAGCGAGACCTCATCTCTACAATAAATCAAAAAATCAGCCGGGCATGGTGGCGCATGCCTGTAATTCCAGCTACTCGGAAGGCTGAGGCGGAAGGATCACCAGAGCCCAGCAGGCCGAGGCTGCAGTAGCCGGAAGCGGCCACTGCACTCCAGTCTGGGCGACAGAGTGAGACTCCAACTCAAAAAAAAAAAAAAAAAAAAAAAAAACCACTTCCAAGATCCAATTTTAAATGGGTATGCGGGAGAAATGGAAAGCTTCACTCTAATGTCATTTTTCTTCAATCAAAATATTCTGGATGGTGGAGAAAAGATGTCAGCCTGGACTTCTCCCTTCTCCCATCAGGGTCAGGGTGAGTTCTGCAGGGTTAGGCCCTCCTTACTGGGGCATCCCAGCTCACAGATCCAATATCCAGACAGGTGAAGGATACTGCGGGGTTTTGAATGCAACACCACAGGCTGACGTGGGTTTGAGCTGGAAGAGACCATGGAGAACCTTCACTTATCTGCAGGAAATTGAGGCCCGGAAAGCTTGGGAGACTTTCCCAAAGCCACACAGCACATAAGCAGCAGAAGCAGGGTTAGAGTGCAGGTCCTAGCTTTAAACCCTGAGTTCTGGCCACTATCCCACAACATCTTCAACTCCAGCCCACAAAAGGAGAAACCAGAACCCAGAGCAGTTCAGGGACTCACCCACATTGGGGGTTCTCAGGAGGCTCCCCTGGATTTCAGCTGAAGGCCAGTTCCACATCTCCTCTCTCTGTCTTTGGATTCCAGAGGCCAGTCTATCTTGGGCTCTGGGCTCCTCAGCAGAAGGGACCCCACTGCTGTCTTCCCCCTTCACTCCTATGAACAGCTCTAGGGCAACGAAGCAAGCCCAGTGAGCCCCAAAACTTGGAAAGAGGCATTCTCTCAACTGCTGGACTTGCCGAGCCTTGGCCAGCAGGAGATCCATTAGGGAGGTTGTCTCTCTCAAAACTGCATGGCTCCCCTTTAGAGAAATACTGAAATGTACTGAGCAGATCACAGATGCTGTCCTAGATAGACCTTTATAAAAGTAGGCAGAGAACACAAATACATACTTAACGGACAGGTGGGCTTATAAATACAGGTCCTTTACTGGCATCTGAAATTAGGCTTCAGATACAAATGTGACCCTCTGAACATATGTAAAATGATCTGTATGAGCATATGTACATGTTGTGGGGGGAGTTTGCTCATAGCTGTTACTAAACTCAGATGAAGTCAAAGGTAAAGCCTGCTGGTCAAAACAGAGGGGAGGTGGACACAGAGCGAAGATGTGCTGATACAATTGTGTGTTGAGTCCCTTCTTTGAGCTGGACGCTACATAGACATGGTCAACCACCCTCTGAGATAGGTGATCTCATCCCCATGTGAGGGGTGGGACTGGAAGCTCAGGGAAGGGAAGCGTTTTGCCTGAGGCCACACAGGTAAGAAGGACAACAGGTGGGCCGGAAGCAGGCTGTATGACCCCAAAGTCATGTTCTTAGGCTGGCAGAAAAGATGGCATCATACAAAGGAAACTTGGAGCCAGGGCCAGGTCTTGCGACAGGCACAGGGGAAAACACATTTTGTTTTGTTCAAGGCAGGGGTGGCAAGTTTGGATTGTGTAACTTTAGCAGCTACGTGCCCCAGAATTCCTTTGCCTGCAGAGTTCTTTGGGTTAGCAGAGCCCAAAGAGGAGGTTTTTTTGTTTTGTTTTGTTTTTTGAGTCAGAGTCTCACTCTGTCACCCAGGCAGGAGTGCAGTGGCACGTTCACGGCTGCTCCGTGTCAACCCACTGTGCTCAGGCAATCCTTCCACCTCAGCGTTCCAAGTAGCCAGAACTATAGGTGCACGCTACCACCCCTGGCTAATTTTTTGATATATTGTAGAGACAGGGCCTCACCAAGTTGCCCAGGCTGATCTCGAACCCCTGGGCTCAGGCAGTCTTCTCGCCTTGGCCTCCCAAAGTGCTGGGATTACAGGCTTGAGCCACTATGCCTGGCCAAGATGTGTTTTGTGAGAGATTTGGAAAGCAGAAGGGAAGCCACAATTATATACTTTTATGCTTGTGATGTTGGAGCAGGGCCCGAGGTGTGTTTGTGGCTTGGGCATTTGCTGGCGAGCCTTGGGTGTGAACTGTTGAGTCACCTTGTTCAACTCTGACTTCCAGGCCAGTGTGTTTAGCTTTGTAAATAAGGAAACTAGCTTCTTCTGCAGGGAGCACCAGCGGCAAAGCTGAGGGCTGGAGGTGTTGAGACCCGTGATTCTAGTCCATCCTCTGGGTCTCCCTCCTCCTCTTAGATTCCAGTATGTCCTTGGTCACCCACTTCACACCCATCTTCTTTCCCTTCAGACTGTCTGTCATGCTGACTTGGCTGAGGCACCAGACACAGGAGAGACAGCCTCCCACAGAGGACCAGGCCAGCGCTCACATTTGCACCACGTCAAATTCCTACAAAACATGTTTTCTTATATCATCTGAAATTAGTTTTCCTATCTAATCAGATTTAAAGAATTCATAATTTTTCTTCTTTTATTTTTTTCATTTTTTTTATTTTGAAAAAATTTAATTGACACATAATAATTACACATATTTATGGAGTACATAATGATATTTTGATACATACAATGTATACTGATCAGATCTTCTTTTATTTTTTAGGAGCAGGTTCTTACTCTGTCACCCAGGCTGGAGCACAGTGATGCTATCATAGTTTGCTGCAACCTCAACCTCCTGGGCTCAAGCAATCCTCTTGCCTCAGCCTCCTGAGTAGCAGGGACTATAAGAACATGCCACCAGCTGGGCTTGGTGGCTCAGCCCATAATCCCATGCCTTGGGAGGCTGAGGTGAGTGGATTGCCTGAGCCCAAGGGTTTGAGACCCACCTGGGCAACTTGGTGAGACCTCATCTCTACAATAAATCAAACAAATTAGCCGAGTGTGGTAGCGCGCACCTGTAGTTCCAGCTACTTGGAAGGCTGAGGCAGAAGGATCGCCAGAGCCCAATAGGTCGAGGTTGCGGTGACCGGGAGCGGCCACTGCACTCCAGTCTGGGCTACAGAGTGAGACTCCAACTAAAAAAAAAAGAAAAAGAAAAAAGAACATGCCATAATTCCTGGCTAATTTTTAAAACTCTTGTAGTGATGTTGCACAGGCTGGACTCGAACTACTGGCCTCAAGTGATTATCTTGCCTCAGTCTCCCAAGTAGCTGGAACTATAGGCATGTGCCATCACATCTGGCTAATTTTCAAACTTTTTTTTTTTTTTTTAATATACGGGGTCTTGCTGTGTTGCACAGGCTGGTCTTGAATTTCTGCCTCAGGATCCCAAAGTGCTAGGATTACAGGTATGAGCACCACGCCCAGCCCAATTGCCAGTGTTTAGTGGTAAGGGGTTCATTGCTTGTCCACTGCTTGCAGAGAT